AACATCAAAAAACCAATGGTTTTTCAACAAAAAAATGTCAAAATCTCATCCCGCGCGCTCTTGCGGATTCGTAGGAAACCCAACACTTTTTAAACATTTCTGTCAAACGGGCTTTTGCGAGCAACTTTTTCGAACTTCTGCGACAACGGTTGCGCACCTGCCAGGGCCATCATCCCTGTCAAATAATACCATGCGGGACACATTCGTTTTTTCTTCGCGCGCGCACGCCGTCGTCGTCGGCCGCGGGGCCCTGAATAGTAGCCACGGTCGTCCGCATGCCACGAAGTGAAGTGTCCGAACGTCATAGGGCGGGAAGCTGGGTGTGGGTGGTGGCGAAGAGTCGTTTGGAAATTTGGTAGAGCTTGAACCGGCCCCCCCACAAAGTGGGGGTATTGCCCGCCTCCTATGAAAACCCTGGCACTGGTGAGAACGGAGTGTCCCCACGTGCTAGTAATTGTTGTTGTTGTTGTTGTTGTTGTTGTTGTTGTTGTTGTTGTTGTTGTTTATGTTCGTTGTTGCTCTAGGCGCAGAGACACCCCGAGGTACCACAACTCACACAAAGAGCGGCACGATCTGTGCTGGTCGTCAGTGATTTGGGTGGCGAGCGTCCCGTCGCGCGTGTGCTCACTGTTTCCCCTGTCCCAGGAGATCCGTGCCCTGGCGGAGACGCTGAAGATCTTGGCCGAGGACGAGGCACGCGCCACGTTTTCTCGGAGCTCGCTCGGGAACGCGTCGCTGAGCTTTGTCCAAAAGGCGCCACCCGGGGCCCCGGCCGGTGCCCAGCAGGAGGAGGAAGAGAAGGAGGAGGAGGAGGAAGGAGGAGGAGCGGAGAAGGAGGAGGAGAAGGAAGGAGGATGATGAGGAGGATGAAGAAGAGGAGGTGGGTGAGACATGAGCGCGCGTAGCAGAAAGATGCGGAGGTGGCGGACGTGGACGAGAGCGGGAGGGGAAGGAGGAGGAGGAGGAGGAGGAGGAGGAAGCGGTGGAGGAGCCGTAGCAGGAGTCGGCAGGAGGAGGAGGAGGAGGAGGAGGAGGAGGAGGAGGAGGAGGAGGAGGAGGAGGAGGAGGGGGGAGGAGGAGGAGGAGGAGGAGGAGGAGGAGGAGGAGGAGGAGAGGAGAAGGAGGAGGACGAGGAGGGGGGAGGAGGGTGAGACAAGAGCGCGCGTAGCAGAAACATGTAGAGGTGGCGGACGTGAACGAGAGGAGGAGGATAAGGAGGAGGAGGAAGAGGAGGGGATGAGGAGGGAGGAGGAGGAGGGGGAGGAGGAGGAGGAGGGAGGAGGAGGAGGAGAGAGGAGGAGTAGGAGAAGAAGAAGAAGAAGAAGAGGAGGAGGAGGAGGAGGAGGAGGGTGAGACCTGAGCGCGCGTAGCAGAAAGATGCGGAGGTGGCGGACGTGGACGAGAGCGGGAGGGGGAGGAGGAGGAGGAGGAGGAGGAGGAGGAGGAATAGGAGGAGGAGGAGGAGGAGGAGGAGATTGATCCATGTGCGCGAGGAGCAGAAAGATGTAGAGGTGGCGGAGGTGGACGAGAGCTTTAATACTTCTGAGTGGCCGACCCCTGGAGAGTTGTTCAGGGACCTTCATAAAATAAAGTGAGTGTGGGTCCGAGGGGGAGTCGTGCGCCAAAAGACACACACCCCTTACCGGAACGGCGACCACTGGATATGTGACTATTGTATGAGAAGGGTTAGCCTCAAGACGCGGTTTGAATGTCGAGGGAAGTTCAACCCATCAATGTGCAGGGTCCTCGAGGCTCCCGATTGTAACTCCCACAGGCTGCATGTGGCTTTGACGGTGCCGCAAGGCACCCTGGTCCTCTTCTGTGCTGCGTGTGGGGCATACGGGACGCTCACGGCCTTACGTCTTGGACGCAAGTGCACCCCCAACCCGAAGTCCAAAGAGCTTCGGACACTCCTGAACGGCCGCCTGCGTATGTCAAGCGGTGTCAGAATTGGCCCTGCGCTCCCACTGGATAAGACCCCATTGGGAGAGCTGGCCAGACGTCTGCAGGAGGCCAAGAGGAGGGGTGGGGAGTGCAAATGTTTCTCTTTTTGTCTAGGTTTGCACACTGTGGGAACCTAGACCTTTCCAGATTGCCAAGATTGCCCAGGAGGAGGAGGAAGAGGGTGATGATGAGAAGGAGGAGAAGGAGGAAGCGGTGGCGATGGAAGAGAAGGATAATGATAAGGATGAGGATCATGATGAGGAGGATGAGGAGGATGAGGATGACGATGCTTCCGATAATGACGATGCTGATGCTGCTGATGATGATGAGGAGGAAGAGGAGGAGGAGGAAGAAGGTGAGGAGGATGAGGAAGAGGATGTGGGTGAGACATGAGCGCTCGTAGCAGAAAGATGTAGTGGTGGCGGACGTGGACGAGAGCAGGAGGAGGAGGAGGAGTAGAAGGAGGACGAGAAGAAGGAGAAGGAGGACGAGGAGAAGGAAGAGGAGACAGGAGCGCGAATCGCGTGCCGGAAAGCTGTAGAGGTGGAGGAGGAGGAGGAGACACGAGCGCGATTATCAGAGAGATAAGGTGGCGGGGTTGAACGAGAGCAGCAGGAAGATGAGGATGAGGACGAGGATGAGGAGGAGGCGGAGGAGGAGGGAGGAGGAGGAGGAGGAGGAGGAGGAGGAGGAGGAGGAGGAGGGTGAGACACGAGCGCGAGAAGCAGAAAAAGAGAGAGAGAGAGAGAGAGAGAGAGAAAGAGCGAGAGAGAGAGAGAGAGAGAGAGAGCGAAGTAGAGCTGGTGGAGGTGGACGAGAGAAGGAGGAGGAGGAGGAGTAGGAGGAGGAGAAGGAGGAGGAGGAGGAGGAGGAGGAGGAAAAGGAGGAGGACGAGGAGGAGGAGGACGAGGAGGAGGAGGCGGAGAAGGAGGAGGAGGAGGAGGAGGAACAGGCGGAGCAGGAGCAGGCGGAGGCGGCGGCGGAGGAGGAGGAGTAGGAATAAGAAGAGGCGAGGGGTCAGACATGAGCGCGCGTAGCAGAGAGAGAGAGAGAGAGAGAGGCAGATGTGGCGGAGGTGGACGAGAGCAGGAAGGGGAGGAGGAGGAGGAGGAGGAGGATTAAGAGGAGGCTGAGGCGGAGGAGGAGGAGGAGGTGTGACGGGAGCACGAGTAGCAGACAGATGTAGGGTGACGGAGGTGGGCGAGAGCAGGAGCATTGGTTCTACGACATATTGTGGGGCCTGTTGCTAACCTGGGAATTTGTAAATGTTGGGATGCGGATCGGGGAGAAGGGTCGTGAGAGGGAGGAGGGGGAGGATGATGAGGAGGGGGTGGGTGCTAGATGTTGAGCAGGGCGAGAGGGAGGGGAGGGAGAGACCGAGGAGGATGTCAGTGGACGTGGAAGAAGATCAGAGGGGGTGGGGTCGCAGGGGATGTAATAGTATTATGACGTTGAGGGCGACACGGAGGAGGACTAGGAGGATTGATGGGGAGAGAAGGACACAATAGGTGTTTTTACGTCATGTATGACAGCATGTCCCTCCCACCCAGTCCGTCCCACAGCGCAGACGTATTGGTTGTTCGTTGGCCGAAGTGTGTTGAGGACTTATGATCCCCCAAATACGCACACCATGTGAATCGCAATCAGCAGCAACAGCGATAGTCCTGTGCATCGTAGGAGAACGCGGGGGTGGTAGGCGCGCAAGAGGATTTTCGGGAGACATCAGGACGAGCAGCAGCTGCAGCAGCAGGCGCTGAGGGAGTTCGACGAGCAGAAGGAGCACGAAGTCCAGGTAAAGGCAGAGGATGGGAACGTCGAGGGACGGCAACGACGATAAAGGAGTTGGCTCCAAAAGTGTGGCCTTCGCTGGGGCGACCGCTTCCGAACGACGGGAGCAATTCGCCGATCCTGAAACGTGGCCGCAATTGCAGCAGGGACATGTTTGACAGATCGAAGGCGGCCCGATCGGAAATTTTCACAGTAAACACGACGTATTGATGATGTATTGGGTGTGATCGCGGAAGTCAGTACGCGCAGGAGGGGGAAGCACGCTGGCGCAATATCAGGGAACATGTAGAATACTCTTGTAGGGCTTGTGGCTACGGTAGGTCTGTATGGCACTACCCTCTCCCCCAAATTCAAAGTTGGCACGCGTGGGGGAGACCGCGGTCGAAGTGTAACTCATTCAACCCACTGCCAGCATTGATCATGATGGGGGCATTTACACATGAATGTGGCATGAGGGTTCGCTAATTTATTCCGAAGCCTGCACGTCGTGCGTGACTCTTTTTGGCCCCCGCAGACTGCTCACTCGTGGCCGTTTCATGGGGCCTCGCAGCGATCCAATGGCCATGGTTGCTGGCGAGAGCTGGGTGCTTCCAAAAAGAAGACGCTGCACGAAGGGATTTTTGCGTGCCGCGTGCCTGCTCCCGCTGGGGTCGTGAGCCCCAGGAACTCGAGGACCAGTCGAGGCACGTTCGCGCCGCCTCGATCTGGCGGCGCCGCCGGCCTCGGCGTTCAGGACTCCTCTCGGCTGCGCGCAACGGCGACACCTCGCTGGAGTGACCTCGGGTGCGGGCCCACCTGGGGCCCCCCCCAGCAGCGGATGGCGCGCTTGGAGGTGGCTGCCCCGCGGCCCCCCCAAAGCCGCACACCAGAGACCAGCCCTCCCGGGTGTCACTCCTGTGTGTAGCCGACGCCCTCCCGGGGCCCGTCTCGGGCCCCGGGACCCCCGCATCCAACATCCCAGGGCGTGGAATCCTAGGGGCCTGCAGTCTCCATGGGCCTCGGAGAACGGAGATCGTTCACCATTGAGCAGTTCGCGCGGCGTCAGAGACCAGGGCTCACGTTACCAAGCCAGGAACCTCCCGTAGGACTGTCCTTTGTTTTCGGGATCGTGCTATGAGGAGAGTCTGGGGGGGCCTTCTGGCGTTTATCGACACGAAGGCCTGTACAGCCTGCCCCTTCTCCTCCTTTTTCTCATCCTCCTCCTTTCCCTCCGTTTCTGCCTGCTCCTGCTCCGGCCTCGGCTCAAGACACGAGGGCCCGGCTCCTGCGTGCGAGGCAGTGCCTTCATCCGCTCGTGCCCTCGGTCTCTTGCCATGGCCGCACCGATGATCCGGACCGTGGTGGTGAGGAACACGTTCCTGAATGTCGAGGAGGACGGGGGGGGATCAACAAAAGCACCCGCTTTGCCCTCTCTTCCGCGAGCCCCTTTTCGCACACCTTCTTTTCCTCTTTCACCCGCTGCTCCATTCCCTCCGCCCCTCCATTCCTTGCTCCTCTCGCATCCCTCCTCCACCTCCACCTCCGCCACCTCCATCTACTCCTCAATCTTCTCCTCCATCTCATCCTCTCCTTCCTCTTTCTCTTCTTCCTCCTCCTCCTCCTCCTCCTCCTCTGTCCACTCCGTCTCCTCCCATTCCCGCTCCTCCAACTCCTCCACTCTCCTCCAACCCCACCATCCCCGACGCTTTTTCCTCTACCCCCGCTGCAGTTGTTGATTTTGGTTGTTCTTGTTTTTGGTATATCTGTTGTTCATTTTCTTTTATCGCATCCTGGACACCTCCGTCCGTCCGTTCGTCCTCCACCTTGAAGTCTTTGGGGGCCTGTTGTGGCAATCCTGGAGGCCATACTTTGTGGAGATGTAGAGCATTTGCAGTGTTGCGTTGCAGCTCAGAGCGCATAGCATGACATGTTTGAGTGTAGGCCTTATCGAGAGGAGTTGTTTCAGAGACATTATGAGTTCGATTTTGTCCGCAGTCGTCCTGGCTCAAAAAGGTGATGGGTTTGACAGTCTCAGACTAGTAGGGTTGTGCGTCCAAGTTGCCGACCCTCGTACCAGATCTTTCTTAGACGAGGATTGCTGTGGCGTTGGAAACTTCAGACGCGGATTCCGTCAATCTACAGATGACCGGACTCATGACGGAGAAGAGACTCGGCAATTTTCGGGACTTCGATGGCCAAGAGGAACACCTCGAGGGGTTCCAGTGTAAAGTTCACGAACTACGTTTCCAGTCTCCCAGGAAACGCTCGATCATGACTGATGTCAGCAGCAAGCGCTCCAGACAGACACATGCTCGATGGATGCGCTAATTCCGCAAGGAAGTCATGTGTCAAGGTATCGACCGATGACTGACGGCAATGTGTAACGGACGCGCTGTTGACATCATCAAGGCGCCCCCAGAAGCAGATGACGGATTCAATTCATGGAGATTGCTGTTCAGGGTGTGCAGACCCAAAATGGGCGGACGGTCAAAACCATTCTTGGGGTTCTTGGGGGGCAGCAGTGGACAGCAGGCCAGCAAACATTGAAGCATTCGGAGTATGGTGCGCTAGATGATTGGAGTCGGTGCAATAAACCGACGATTCTCGAGTTCGCCCATGGATGATGACATGAAGGTAGCAGTTGTGAAGAGAGGCGTACCCACGGACCTCGACTCAACTAACACATGTTGCTAGCGGTTGTTCGTATCGGCGATCGCGTCAGCGTGTTTCACAGCATAGTGGTGACCAGGGCCTAGTTTTACACATGTTGGAACGCACGTGGCTCGACGCAGCAGGAGGGTACAGTGATGCAGATGGAGAACACCAACACATGAGGCGGAGCAAAAAGGGCGACAAGAGCAGAGGCACGGACTATCATAGCTACAGTGGCAAGACCCACCAGTGCTACAGCGGCAAGAAATATCACGGCCAGAAAACAAGGGCTACAACGGCAAGGGCTACCAGGATGACCAGAGCAGCAAGAACGGCGGCGGCAAGGGTTCAGGCAGCAAGAGTGGTGTGGCAAGGACCAGCGGAGGCGAGAAGAGCACCATGGGCGGCCGGATCCTTGATCTTACAGGCGCCTTTGCGGGCTACCGTCGTGGATGCTGGCAGCGGGGCCACAGCAAATCCAATGTCCAAATCGGCTGGATGTCGGAGCCCTTTCCGGGTCTCAGCTATCTCAAGCGTCGCTGCTGATGGTGATCAGGCAGTCTCGACATCGGGGCGGGACATCGACGGCGACGCCGAAATCGTTAGCGACATCATCAGCGCCATCATCATCGGCTACAGCAGCGAGCGCGATTTCAGGGCTCGCGGCGGAGAAGGAGCTGAATTACGACGAGTGCGCATCCGCCGGTGAGGAGGACTGGTCGCGCCCATGGGGGCCCTGCGACGACGAGAGGAGCTGCGAGCCCTGGGGGGCGGGCGACACCTGGTGGCAGCAGGTTTCCTCATCGATCCTTGCGGACAGCGGCGATGCGGAGGGGCCGTGGGTGCGCGGGCTTGGCGGCAGCGGTCCTGGCGCCGCTGGTTCGAGCAGGGGAACGTCGAGCTCGACTCGGGCAGCCAGAGACATGCCTGCACCAAGACACGCATTCCATACTACGGAGTCGACGACTCGGAGGGGACGGGGTTCGGAGACAATCGAGGCAGAGCGACCAATATCTATGGCGAGCAGATCGTGGATCTCAGCCTGGTCGGCAACCGCGAACAGATTTCATGTGGGACCACGGTGGGCGTCTCAGACGCGGATGCGAATGTGTCGTCGATGGGCAGGTTGTTGCGGAGTGGCTTGACACTCGTTTCGCGGAGGACGGTCGCAGGCGCGCGGCGGAGAGGAACGGCGAGCGCCAGGAGCTCGCCGAGGACGGCCGGAACGCGAACGCACCGCCTTATTTCTTCCAAGGTAGACACCAGTTCGAGGCAGCTGGCAGAACATCAGCCTCTCATAGTCGGAGCGGCGCGCCGCGCTGGAGGCGAGGTGACCACCGAGAGCCTTGGCAACCGCGGCCGGCTCGATGGCAGCAGGGCGGCGTTGGTCAAATGCGATAAGACAAGAGGAAGATGGCGGGCGATTTGTCAGCGGCGCCCCGATGTGACGCTGATCATGCGGCCTGAATGCGTTCCACGCGTGCGTTGGCATTTGGAGGGCGCGCGGCTTGGAGCGGGCATGGGCCTCGGCCAGGCGGCAGCAGCAAGCGCGACTGTTGACCTGGGGGTGTCCAGCTCAGCATGTCATCGCCGGCCACGACTTTACGCATTGCCCGGCAGCTGCGCGGTTTGAGATATGCGCTGGATCCAAGGGGTGATGCGGCTCACGGGCATTTGCGGTTCGATAAGACTCCGAGGAGCTCGGTCAAGTGAATCAGGTGGGCTTCGCGCGCGCGGCAGCTGCGTGTTTTTGTTGGTCGGGGGGGGGGGGGGGGGGCGTTTTTTTTTTTCCCCCCCCCCGAGGGGCCTCGGCAGAGGGCCGCGCCGATCGCGGGGCGCTGGCAGCGGGGCAGCGGGCGGGCCAGCGGCAGTGCTCGAGAAGGGGCTGGGGGCGACCGCGTGGCGATCCAGCCTCGCATTCTTTGAAGGCTTCAATGCGTCGGGCGCGGTCCTTGGAGGTGAAAACGAGACGGGTCTGATCGACGTGGTGGGCTGCGTATTTCGGGCTGCGGCGATGCGTGTTCCAACGATCGTCAGAGTCGGCTTCGCGCGCCGAGAGCAGACGTCCGAGCTGGCTTTTCTAGCGACATGGTGCCGGGATATGCGTTGTTTCCACGGGCGGTCAGTGGCCGGTCGCGCGGTCTGGATCGTATATCGGGGCCAGGTGCGCGAAGGGGCCGAGGCGGCGGCTTGCCAGATCTTGAGAGGACTGCCGCGCGCATCCATGATCGTGCCTTTCGAGGAGCTGGCGATGATCGGGTTGGGCGCGCGGGAGGAGCGACGCGCGCGTCTTGCTCGCGCTGTGCGGTATCGCGACGGGCAAGACGGCGGGGCGTTTAGTCACATGGTTTTCCGTTCGCATCCCATTCTGGCAGGCGCGCGACCGAGAGGCGGCGCAGCGACCAGCTGATCGAGGCGATCGACCAGCCTGGGGCCGGCGACCAGCCGATGGAGGTGGAGACTCGACCAGGGGCGACGACGGCGAGCGCGGCGGCGTCAGCCCCAGCTGCAGCGATGGACATGCAGCATGTACTTAGAGATGCCGCGGCCACGGGCACCGAAGGCTTGCGATGGCCAGCGGAGAGCGAGGGCACGAGGAGACGACTACGGCGTGCACAGACGGCCTACTCAGGCTGACTGCGAGGAGGTCCAATGCGGGCTTGTAGAGGAGATGCTATTTCGCGGCTCTCCGCGACCGGCATCTATGCCTGGGGGCTCGCGGAGATCGGCAAGTTCGTCGGCGACAGCTGCGTCGAGGGCGCGAAGATCGAAGACGCCCCCGCCCTCGACGCGAAAACGCTCTCTGAAACTTGGGCGGGCCCCCCCCGAGCAATGAGAAATCGCGTATCTGTGCCGGGGGGTTAGCCGCGACGCAGGATTCGCCGCGGCGAGAGAGGGGGCCGCTGTCTCAATCGTGGATTGTCGAGAAGAGATGTCTTCAAATGAGCTTCGACGCAATATCGGCGTTCACCCGGGCAGCGGGGGAGGAGCTCACGCATGTTTGGCAGCCGCCCGAGTGCTGGGGGGATTGCGGAGAGGAGGCGTGGTGCCTGAGGGCCATCTACGGCACGCGGTCAAGGGGCTTGCAACAGGCAGGGCCATGTGTCTAGCGCGATCGAGTCCAGGAGCTGAAAGTTCGATTTCGCCCAGGATTGCAAGTGTCCAAGCGTCTGGCTCAGCAAGATGCCGGGCGCTGCGAGCGACCTGCGCGAGGGCGATGGCACGGCGACGGGCCCCAGCAAGGGCCCGTCGAAGCTCATGCCTGAGATGGGCGGCAAGATCAATTTGGAGCGGGCAGAGGACTTGCGGCCAGGCATCGAGACGGAGCACCTCGGCGCGGCGCGGGCCAGGGCGATGGGGGCGTCTGGCCATTCAGGCCCAGACTGAGTGCGTCGACTCGAGTTTGGCCAATGCGGGAATCGAGGGGCGCAACCTCGACCTCGCCAGCGTTCGACGAGGCGCCCGCGGGGGCCGAGGGTCAGGGGCTGGGCGAGGCGAGCGAAAGGGTGCGCGCGATGGTGGTTTGCAGGTTTGCATGTGGCGAAGAGGCGCTCGGGTCTCCCGGCGATGGTTCGACGGTCGCGCCAGCGGTTGAGTAATCCAGACATCAAGTCCAAGGGGCAGCTCATCAAGCTGCTGCGGTGCCTGAAAGGTACCAGGAACCACGCGCCGTTCTACCGGGCAGACGAGGTGTCGCGCAGCATCGACGCCTGCCAACTGGGGCTGCGACTGGGGAGGAGACGAGCTTGACCGGAAGAGAGCGATGGGAGAAGCTATCGTAATATATGGGTGCCAGGCGCACTGCCGCAGCCGAGGTGGAATTTGGCGCGCGCTCTCACCGTGCGGGTCGGGTATCACGAGCAGCAGCTAGATCGTGAAGGATTCGCTGGCGCCCGGCACTTGGTGCAGTTCGCTGGATTGGGAAAAAGTGCCTTTGCTTGCATTGCATCGCTGACGCATCGGTGGATCAGGCACTCATGCATTGACGCGGGCGCGGCCGCGTGAGACATCTAGATCTGCGACGCACGGCAGGGGGATTGCGCGAGAGGCGATTCCATCCCCGAAAAGGTCCCAGAGAGGAGTGCCAGGGCCTAGCTGGCGCGCTTGCGAAAGTTTCAGCTCGACGGAGCTGAAGGAATTCAACGAGGAGCTGGGCTCGCCCCCGATCGACATTTTGATCGACCCTGGGGCGGCGGTGCGCGCCGGGGTGGATGTGGCGGGCCCGGTTGGCATATCGTTGATTGTAGCTCTATTTTCACTGTCTGCTCGTCCGACTGCAACGGAGACTACGACGATTGAGTCCAGTGGAGAGTTCGCATCTGCTGGTGCTGCTATAAATTAGTGTGATGACGGCTTATGTTCGTGATTCGTGTTGTCGGGGAGAGCCTGCGACGACAGTTCTGACGGACCGCGCCGCGTCTTTGCTCGCGGCGATTTCTGTGGGCGTTCAGACGGTGCCAGGTCAGACCAACGGAAATGTGCCAGCCCAGGTCTTGTTTTGCCCGCTTGGCACGACATGTCATATGCTTTTGGCGTAATCGCGTGACGCACGAAACCAGATTGCTCAAGCCGAACAAGACTGCCCGTTTTCATTGTATTTCATTTCGGCGCGAATTGCGTGCCCGAGATTTCCAGGGCAGGCGCGAACGCAGCGCGAAGGAGCGTGACTCGACAGCTTCGGCGGATGATGCCAGCTTGGTGGCGAAACGCTTCCTGGGACCATTATTATGTATGTGTGTCCTCCAGCTGTGGATGCATGCCAACATTCAGAGCCTAGGTCGTGTCACGTTGCAACTCAAAGCGCGTAGCATGACATGCGTGAGTGCAGAGCTTACCATGAGCTGGATTCCGTTCCGCAGTCATCCTGGCTCAGAATGGCAATGACATGAAAGTGGCTTCACCAATTGCGCCCCCCGCCCCCGGAGTCCGACATTGAAGCTCTCTGTGCCCTCTTGTGCCCTCTTGGGCCGCTCTTCGGCGCTCTTGGGACCGTCTGCTCCTCTTGGGCCCCTCTTGGGGCTCTCTTTGGCCACCTTGGATCCATCTTTACGATTCGGAAGGCCGCGCGAAATCAAAAAGGCGGGAAGGCTTGAACTCGTGGATCCCCAAATTCGGTTTGGAAAAGGATTCTGGCCCTTCGGCATGGGTCTTTGGAAGTCCCTGCCATGACCGTCCTACGGCTAAGCCGCCGTAGGACGTTCATGGCGCTTCTTGGAGGCATGCTGCAATCTATCTTGTGCGATACTGGAGCCCCTCCTTGGCTATCTGAGACCCTCTAGGGGCCACCTAGGACCAACTTGAACGACCTGCGAGCTGGCCCGTTCAGACCCAGGGGGAAGGGGTAGGGGGAGAGGTACACCCATCCTCGAAAGGAAAGCATAGCTTGAAATAACCAACTCCTCAAACCACTTGCGTACCTCCAAAGGTTGGTGGGTTCCGTCGGAGGCCTGGGCGCAGGGGTAACGTTACAGTGGGATAGGCTCAGGGGGAGACGCATCGACTCCCAACTCGCCCACGAATCGCCGATAAGGGGCCCGACAGCGCACCTCGTCCAGGAGCGTGCGGATGCGCTACCACGGGGGCCTATCGCCGATTCATCGGCGATTCATCGTCGACTCCAGGTCGACGTTTCCCCCCTCGGCCTGCTTGGTTCTCTCCCCGCTCCCCAGACCCTCGCAGGACGCGGACCACCAGCTCCTCGGTTGCGCCCCGATGCGGCGCTCGAAGTCCGTGGGCGACGACCCGGAGGTCGCAGCGGAGGTTGAGATCGAGGCTCAAGAGGCGGGGGTCAATGCAAACCGGGGTCAGCCAGAGCGCCAAATCTTGCAGGATCCTGCAGGGCCAGGGTCGCATTGACCCGGGTTTGGGTGCAGCATCCTGCAGGATCTTGCAGGATCCTTCGCATTGGCCCGGGCTTGGGTGTAGGATGTTGCAGGATCTTTCAGGATTCTGCAAGGCTTGACTGACCCGGGTCTGGATTGACCCGGTCAGAAGATCCCCGATGAGAATTCCACCGTGCAGACAGCGACGACGGCGACGACGACGACGACGACAATCTAGACCCCCCACGTCGAACAAAAGACACGACGGGAGGTTTGTGGGCGTTTTCTGCCTCTGGGGGTCCTTGCTGGGGCCCAGGACCTTCCAAAAACGGTTCAGGGCGAAAAACCAAGCCTAGAATTCTGGGGGTCTACGTCATGAGAAAATCACGACTTCGGGGGTCAGGGGACGTCGACGAGGCGACGCTGGTGACGTCGCCGTTTTGGGAGTCTTCCTGGGCGGTTCCGGAAGGGTTCCCGTCGCCACGGCAGGGCCCGAAGCAGCTGCACGAGTTGGCCATGATGGGCCCCCCGGGGGAGGGCACTCTGGGGGCCGACTGTGAGCGGGTCTCTGTTGAACATCGGCGTGAAGAAGACGGGGTTCCGAAGGAGACAGGTTGCGCGCTTGCCCCCGCCGTTGGCCTCCTGAGGCCCCGTAGGCCCGCTCCTGGGGCAGAGCCGCCACAACTGGGGGAGCTGTCGTCGATTCCCCCCTCTGCGGGACCCATCGGCTTCGGCACCCCCGCTAGAACGTTGCGTGTGGGCCCAACGTCTAGGCTCACGTTTTGGCGAACGTAGCGCGCCAAACGTACGTGTTCAATGTGTGTGTGTGTATGTGTGTGTGTGTGTGTGCGTGTGTGTGTGTGTGTGTGTGTGTGTGTGTGTGCGTTCGTGTGTGCGTGTGTGCGTTCGTGTGTGCGTGTGTGCGTTCGCTTTTTTTTTTTTTTTTTTTTTTTTTTTTTGTTTTTGTTTTTTGTGTGTGTGTGTGTGTGTGTGTGTGTGTGTGTTGATGTCCGTACCAGCACGCTGCGGGTTGCCTGTTGCGCATCGGGGCAGCCAAGCTCTCGAGAGAGAGTCGACGTGATGGCCTCCCCCCCCCAGGGGGGAGTCAGGAACCCAGCCCCCCCAGTTGTGACTGGTCGGCGGGGCCATCTTCAGGAGGAAAGGAAATACCGACACAGAGAATCGTCGATTCCCATGGGAAGTTGGGAAACTATGGGAAAATATGGGACGTGGGGGGAAGCCGATAACCCAGGACAAGGGGAACAATCTGGAGAGTCCTGGCATTTGTGTCTGTTTGTGTGTGGGTGCGTCCGTGGTCCTCTTCAGTTGTGGCTGGTCGGCGGGGCCGTCTCCAGGAGCGGCTCGGGACGACGAGCCCCGCCCCTGGGAGAGCCGGCCCTCCAAGAGCCCACGCCCTATAGTGTCCGCTGCCCACCCTCCCACCTTCCACTGGCCGGTCCGGCGACGTCAGCCGACCGCGAGTCAAATAGTGACGAAACGTCCTTGCGTGCCTATAGTCCTACCAAACAATGTTCTAATAACCTTTTGTGGTTTCCACGAAATGTTCTTAGACAATTTCTGGCGGAGTCTGTCTTGTCTTATCACATCGGGCTTATGCTCTAAGAGCATTGCTTTTGTTCTTAGAACATTTTGGGGTTCTAAGAACATTTCGTGGTATGACTATAGGAATGCCGGGACGGTCGGTCCCTGCTCAAGCGAGGGCGTGGGTCTGGGACCGGGGGGTGGAGCCGGGGGGTGGAGATTGGTCGATCAGCTGATTGACCATCCAAGCGAAGGGCAAGGTTGGACGGGCCAAATTCGCGGCGAAGGCGGAGTCGGCGCGAGGGAGTCTGCCCTCGGGCCTCTCCAGGACGGCGCCCTGGCCAGAAGAGTTCAAGGCGAGCCCCCGGGAGGCACAGGAGGAGCCTCGCTGCCCGAGGCTCGCAGCTCGGAGCTCGGAGGTCGAGGGGGTCTGGGCCCGTCTCGCCCTTCGGTCTTCCCCTTGGAGGCGGCGCCGAAGGACGCCGACGTCCCGCCCGCCGCCGCGGTGGCCGTCCACAGCGAGGAGGCCCCGGGTGGGGCGTTCCTCGCGCGGGGCCAGCGGCCAGGGCAGAGACGATCCGTCCATTGCGTTCCAACGAGCGCAGAGCACTCCAGACCGCTCTGAGCATTCCGCGGCGCCCGGCGGCTAGGGCAGAGATGATCCGTCCAGAGCGTTCCAACGAGCGCAGAGCACTCCGGAACGCTCTGAGCATTCCGCGGCGCCCGGCACACATCCTCCAGAACCTGGCCACCGGGAAGGCGGGTCCTGAAGGAAACGGGGCCCAAGGTTTGTCGCCGTGTTCGGGCGCTCGGGGGCCCTCCACGGGCTCCGGGAAGGAGGAAGATCCTCTCGTCCTGGGGGGCCGCCCCAGGGTCCAGGATCCCGTTCCCGCAGGGCCCATGGCCCCCATGCTGAAGAGCCCCCGGATCACAGGGATTCACGATTCTTCCCTGCTCGATTTTGTCCCTGTCTTGGCCTCGTCCTAGGCCCTCGCCGGCCGCCTGCGGCCGCCGTGGTCGCGGCCGCCGTCGTCGCTGGCCTCGTCGCCGTCGTCGCAGCTCAGAGGAGGAAAAGGGGCCCCCACAGTCAACACGCTGAAATGAGGAACAGTTTGGGTGCGCAAGGGGCTCGACGTTCCGTAGGTCCTGGCTGTTCCTCGAGCCCTCCTCGTGCAGCCAGGCTGTAGCTAGAACGCGCTCCAGGCCAGCTTCGGGGGGGGGGAGGGAGAGGCGGATTTTGACGGTTTTGTGCCTCTTGGACCTCCTCGGGCGCCTCAGGAGGTGGCCGCGGAGCAGAGGTGTCGGTATCTTTTTGCTCCCCCGGCAGCCGCCGTCGTCGTCGTCCTTGCCATCGTCGCCGCCGCCGCCGTCTTCGCAGCCACCGCCGCCGCCGTCGCCGTCGTTGTCGTCGTGGCGCCATGCCGCGCGCCGGGAAGGGCACACCGCACCCCTCGCTGCGGTCTTCTGCGAAGGCGAGCCCTGCTCTGTTGCTGCTCGCCCGTGGCCACGCCTGGGGTGCTCTCTCCTTGGTGGGCTCGAATTCGTCGCCACGGCCGGAGGCGCCTTTCGGAAGGCTGGCCGGGGCGCGCTTCGGAAGGATTCGGGGGTCGAGCAGCCGAGTAGTGGGCCTCTGTCCGAACAGTTGGATCCGCGTTTCTTGACCGACCTGCCGGAACGCTGGCCCAGTTTTTTGAGCACGTTCGCCTTTTCAGCGTGAACGGCAGAATATGGTCCGGGTTTAAATAAGCCTCTGTGAAGTTGGCCCAGATTTCTGCAGCGATAGATGTCTTGATTATATTGCCGGATGCAGGTGTGGAGGAAGAGGAGGAAGAGGAGGAGGAAGAGGATGAGGAGTAGAACACCCAAGACGCAACAACGATGTTGCAAACCATTATTCCTTTACATTGCTCCTCATAATTAGGTCCCAACAGTGATTGTTATGTTTTTTCACTGCTAGAAGTGCCCCGCCAGAAGACAGCCGTCTGAGAATTCTCAGCCGTGCCAAGACACCACTCCTTGGATTTTAACGCCGCGGATGAACTTTACTGTTGCGTCCTGACGACCCTGCATCGTGCAGGCTGACAGACAGTCAGGCCCGCGCTCCGGCCCTGAGGGGTGGTCCTCGAAGAGGCCAGGCGTATCGGAAACGCGGGCCCCCGCGTCGGGAGAGATCGAGTTGTCGTTGCATCTGCATATTTGGGAGCATGCACAAACCATCGCACGTGTACTCCAAGCTCAGAACATTCTACTTCATCACGAACTCCTCTTCTGTATCATTACACACATCATTCGATAGCGCACAACTTTGCCACTAAGCGTTAATACTCTGCTCGTTGATGTACTCCGGGGCATCGTCTTCCCAGCGTCTCTTCGGTCTGCCGATCCCACGACGTGCTGATATAGCAGCTGGCGTTGGATCCCAACACATCGCTGGCGAAGCCCAGCGGTCTGTGTCCATGTTTTCCATTCTGAAATCCCATCGCCATTAGCGTCAGCATGGCTGGCGTACCCATGAACCAACATGAGCTGTCTATAGATGTTCCTCAGTTGCCCGTTTCGCCCTTCGAATCAAGTCGACCCAAGGCTTCAGATATGCGCACTTTCCGAAGTGCCCGATGATGTGCATTCTTGTTCCGGTCTGGGTTGCTGTCTACGTCGGCACTAGTGTCCATACGTATACATTGTCCACGCCATCCCTTGGTATGGTTTTTCGCTTCGCTCCTAAGATATGTCTGAGCATCGTCCGTTGTACACCTGTGACCTCCACGTCGTGGGTCACAGGACACACCTCGCTTCCATGCAATAGCGTCGGCGCCACCATGCTGTTCAGCAGCCAGATGATATCTTTCAGAAACTAAGCTAGGCTGTTTTTTGTTTTGCTTTTGTGAGCCATGTGTTGCTCATGCTTTCCGGATTCTATTTCTGAGTTCGCATTCGAAAGCCTTGTCGCAAGATACGAGCATCCAAACTATTTTATAGCTGCTGTCGGCGGAATGATCTCGATGGCCAGGCCATTGACCTGTACCAAATCAGCCGCCTGCCGCCCAGACTTAATGCTCGCATGTGTGAATACTTTGGGCTTGCCCAGGTAAATAGATAAGCCCACATAGGCGGGAGATCTTTGGATGTCTGACAGCGTTTGCTTGTGGAAGGTGGGCGCCACGGCGAGCACGTCATCAGCGAAACGTACATTGGTCAGCCTGTTATTGTTTAGTAGTTATTGTTTAGTGGGTCCCATCGTAAGCCGTATCGCTTCCTATGCCAATTTTGTTTGCATGGCTTGAGACAGTTTTCAGGTTAAGAGTTGAACATCCACGAAGGAGCTCGGTCGCCCTGCTTTGACCAACGTTGCATACTGAACTCGTCGCTGAGCACGTCGGTCCACACCCGTTTACGTTGATCAGTATACAGCAAAAAGGAGCTGAACATATGGTTCCAGAATAACCTGGTCACGGAGCGCTGACAACAGAGAACCGTGTTCAACAGTATCGAACGCTTGCATTGTGCTAGAACAACATCCCTGGGACTTCAACACCGCTGTTGTGCCCTGACAATCTAATTTCATCGCTTCGCTCATTCCGCGGGCCCATATTGCCTCGCCTCCGTCGTCTGGCGGGGTGTTGCTGTCAATGCGGTGCGGTTGGGCGGCTGCCATTTTTCGGAGGCGGTGGGTGGCGGGTCAGAGGCCTCAACGACGTTGGTTGGGCTCTCGCGGTTGGCTTTTCAGGGGCCTTAGGGATGCAGTTTGAGGCCTCTTGGGGGCCGTGTTGGGGCCTCTTGGGGCCTCTTGGGTGGACGAACTATCGTAGTAAATGTTTGTTCTTGTAGAGTGAGCTGTTTTGCACGGCGGCAGCATGGCCATAGCTGTTTCGGGTCAGCCGACAGGATAACGGCCTAGCGCCGCTCCAGGTGGCCCCCCCGGGGTAGGACAAGGCTGCGACACACATGTCGTGCATGCTTCCTCCGAGGGAGGCACCTGATGACGGCGCGGCCGACGATGAGAGTTGGTTGTCCTGGCTGGCGCTGCGATCTGCGACGCTGATGGGCGTTGTGATGCTTGTGCACGATCTCCGAGCTGACACAGGCCGCGAAAGAGTGCTCTATCTGATCCTGGGCTGCTTCTTGATCGTCGGCTCGGTTGTCTACTGGGTCGCGATGCAGTTTCGAGAATGGTGGAGACGCTTCACGGGTCGTGATGAGCTTGAGGAGTTGCGAGCGAGGATGGCGGTGCTCAGCATGGGAGAAGGTGAATCCTGAAGACCAGCAAATCCCGCTGAACTTCTCCCGCCTCCGCCGGCAATGACTGCGCCTGGGCCCTTGGACCTGGGCGGCGTCGCCCCAGCACGGCCGCCTCCAGTGGGTGCCGCGACGGTGGGCGTCGATCCCAGCATGACGGCGTTCCACCACTTCGCGTCAGGCATGGATGGGGCCGGCTCGGTCTCTTTCGCTGGGGGCCCCGCGGCTGCGGCGCCCCTGCCGCCGACGGCGCCCCCTGGGGCTGCGACGGCCGGTGCTCCCGCGGCGGGAGCTGGCGCGGGGGTCGAGGCGAAGACGGCGGCGGCGCAGAGTGCAGCACTCGTGAAAGAGAGCCTCGCTCGCTGGGCCAGCACGGCTGCTGGGAATCCGTGGTGGGGGACGCTGTTCTGGAAGGGTGTGCGCCAGCTCGAGCTGCAGGGGCGGCTCGACGCAGCGGTGAAGGCGGCGCTCACAGCCAGGGGGTACCTTGGACAGGAGACGGTGAACCCGCCTGACCCGCAGATGCTGGAGACGGTGCTGAGCGGCTTCAAGGGCGCCTCCTTGGACGACGCGTTCGGCGGCGCGTTCGGGGGCCCGGCTACGGAAGGCGGGCTGGAAGTAGACACATGGGCTCACGCCGTGCCCCCGGATTTCAAAAGAGCTAGAGTCGAAATTTATATAGAAATATATGAGCTGCCGGATCATCGGGAGTCCGACACTGGTTGGATCGACAGTTCGCAGGCTTTCGAAGAGATGAACAATGGCAGAGTCTGTGGGACACGGCCGCGACGCTCGACTTCGAGCTGGGTCGGTGTCGCACCGACCAGGGGCTCATGACGGTCCTCGCAACTAACGACTTGGTCGGGCCCGGGCTGCGCCACTTGTCGGCGTTCGTGTATGAGGCGAGGACTCATGACAAGGTGGGAGCTGCTCGTCCACGGGCAGATGCTGCAGCGGGGAGCGGCGTCGACATCGCCCCGAACTGGCTGATCACGGAGGCGACATTGCACAGCAAGATGGAGCACCAGAGGGCCGAGCGGGTCACGTCGGAGCTCAAGCGGAGGCACCCCAAGGGCGACAAGGACCCGAAGGGGAAGGGCCGCGGGAGCAAGCGACGCTGCGCACACGGCCCGCGAATTGCGCCGCGAGCGCGGGCCGATCGAGGTGCTCCTACGGAGCAGCGGCAGTGCCAGTGCAAGGATCACGTCGAGGTCGCAGAGCGTAGACAGTGGGTGCCTAAGAGAGTGATTGCGACGCGGCATAGTGGTGCGACGGGGCTGGACGGCGGCGCCCCTTGCCCCCCCAGCCTCGCCGAGGTGTCCGCGGCTGTTCACGACGGGCGTTCCCTTCTACCTGTCCCTCTACTGCCTCGGCCAGGTCCGATGAGCACGAGGACAGGGCGGGGGAGGCAGCGGCTCGCGCGGCGGCAGCTGGCGCGCTCGGTGGCGAACGGTATCCTAGAGTCCATGAACGCGGCTGACTTGGGAAGTTCGCAGAGGTCAACGCGAAGTGGGCGCGCAGAGATGAACTACTTGGTGGGCGGGAGCGCCTGGGCCATGATCCAGAGACGCGCTGTGCGGCACGCGCGGGATCATGCGAATGTTCGCCAGTGTTTCGGCATGACAGGCGTGCAAGCAACGTGCCAGCTCCTTAAGATGGGTCAGATTGTCTGCCGACGAGTGCACAGTAGACGAGTGCGCGCAGCTTTTGAAAAGGGTATAATCGACGAAGTAACGGCTGAAAATGTTGCCCCCCTGAGCTGCTCTTCCAGCCGGCGAAGCAGAATCTGGCAGTTGTGAAGCCAACGTTGTCGAGATGGATGGCAAAAGTTGTGTGTTGCGTTCGTGGGCTTGAAGAACAGTTCGGCTTCTTTGGTGGAGATCCGCCCCAATGGATCAGATATCTACATCGGTCAGATTTGCCTTGCGGATTGCGGGAATTCAAGGAGCTGGCCGAAGTGAAGGCGATCAGTGGTATCTCAGCAGCTCCCAAGAAAGACGGAGTGCACTTGCGTAGGTTTGCGACGGCAGCCCCTGCAAATTATTTATGGTCGGACGTGCGTGCCCAGGCTGATCATGGGCTGGGGCGGGGTGTGGTGGTGGGGGGTGGGGGGGGGGGCTCTGTCCCTCCTACTGGCGCCAGGGCTAGAGGTCTTCATGTCGAGGTGTGATGAGAGCAATGCCCTCTCCTCGGCTACCCCCCTCCCGAGCGGGCGTGGCTTTGGATGGCGACCCTCGCTGTTCAGGCTATCCTTGTCTGGGATCTCCTGGGCGACGACCTCGGGGGCAGGGTGAAGGGGCCGCGGGCCTGGCGCGCGCAGTGCGCATCTCGATGGGCATCAATGCGGGGGCCATCGGGCGCACGCTCGCCCGGAACTCCTACGCTCTACGAGGGCGCGAAGAGGGCGCAGGCCCCCCCCCCCCCCCCCTAGAGGTTCAAATCTTTGAGGTGGAGTGGGTGCGTCGGCAGCGTGAACGGCGGTCTTCGAGTCAAGTCCCTTCGGGGCCCACGGTGGCGGAGTTTTGTGACGAGGTGCGGTTTCTGAAGAGAGAAAAGCATAGATTGGTCGTGGTCCTGCATGTGTATGCAGGCCGCCGGCGACATGGAGATGTAGAGCATGTTGTGGATCAGTTTAAAGATAAGCGCGAGAATCCCGTTGTTCTTCTTTGGGGTTGACGGATCAGAAGATCACAGATGGGACATGGCAGACCCGGAGACGGTGGCGCCTTTTGGTGAGCTGGCTGAGGATGGTTTGGTCGACGCGGTTATTGGCAGCCATCCCTGCGCGACTTGGAGCTCAGCCCGCTTCAGGGATATCGGACTGAGGCCTTTTCGTTTTCGCCGCTGCCTACTTGGACGAGCTGACCTCGCGACGGATGAGGCGGGGCGCGTCGTGGAGGCAAACGTTCTCTCGTTCAACTTCTTGGGTCTGTGTGAGCAGGTGCGTCTTCGAGGGGGTGCCTTTCTCATGGGGCATGCGGCAGATCCGGGCGGTGATCCCCGCCCCAGCGCGTGGGTGCTCGAGGCGGTGGCGGGGCCATGACCGGGCGCGGCGCGGCCGTTATCACGCTGGGCCAGTGCGCGTTCGGAGGCCTGACGCAGTAGTCGACCGCGCCGGGGTCAAACCTGGGGGGCATTCGAGGAGGAGCTTGTCGTTGCGACGGCCGACGCGCTCACAGGACGAAAACATGTAACCATAACCGTGGGGCCGTTCGCATGGCACCAGCGCCGACCCCACGCGCGCACGCAGTAATCACATATAGCCACGCCACAATAGTCATACAACGAGAACAGTCATATTCATACGATAGTGGTATATTCAGGGGATATAGTTTATTTAGTGTAACTGTTCTTGAGGCGGAAGCACGATCTGCTAACATGACTGAATAAAAGCAACAAGTATGATTTTGTGTACTCGTGCATTCCCCTACGGTCAAACGTGCGTTCGTCGCGAGACCTCGGATTCCAGCGCATGCCAACGCATGCTGACTTTACGTAGCGCAATGACATAGTCTGATGTATTGGTCATCCTTTGTCTGCGAGAAACATGTGTCTTTGGTGCCAGGAGGGGCGGACGTCTCTGGTCGTTTCCATTACTGAAAATGCCCCATGTAGGAATTGAATAATTGAGGGGCGTGGAGTTCGCGGTGTGTCGCCACTTCCTTTCCATCGTATCCATAACCATTTTGGCTCAAGCTTCTTTTTGTGTTTTTGTCCAGCTTGCCACGTGTCTCTCTGAACACTTGATATCGCGAGCGGCCTTTGGACACGCGGTGCCGAGACTAAGGCTGGAGAGACGTTCTGTACGTTTGCTTTGTCGGTTCCCAAGGTGAAGCCGATAAGGGACACCAATGAGACGAGCTCGAGGGTCAGGTTTCGAAACGCCACCATCCGCGTGATCGACTATATGATGAAGAACCCACAGCAGACACCAGAGTTGCGGGGCCAGATCGAGAGCGGCCTCGTGGGCAAAACCGCGACCAAGAATGGTAGCGGTTCGGGCTCTGCTGACACTCCGGACAACATTGATCTGACTTGGGCTGGGACATCTGTCGGCAAAGTCCATCCTAAGGTGAAAGCGGCGCAGCTGGCGGCGCTACCGGATGGACCATCGGAGGCCCTTCTTGATCTCATCGATGATAATGATGCGCGCGCGATCAAGGGTCTCTTCGCATTTGCGTTTCAATACAAATCGTCTGACATATTTACGGACGAGATGGGAGACATGAGCACTTGGGCACTCATGAACGTTCGCAGGAACGCTCAGATAGGCATCGACTTCGGTTTTTGGATCAAGGATTGCGTGAACCCCGACACTGGCGTTATCGATTGGGGTCGCCGTCCTCTCTATACGCCCATTTGGGGAAAGGAGTACCTGGCGTCCGTGAGGGTCATTAACGGCGACACCGCCTCCCCTCCGAAGGGCGTGTTTATCACATACGAGTACAAGCTGGACAACCCCTTCTGCGCTGAGGGGGCTGGATGGGTTCTCGACACTGCCAGGTACCCTTGCAAGGACTGGTTCTCTGTCCAGCAT